AAAATACTCTAACCTTCCAAACTAAAAAAAAAAGAGGTAATATTTTAGGAAAAATATTTATATACTCTCTAATTTAACACATTTTACAATATATTTCTTAAAATTTTATTATTTAAAAATTTTTAAATTTAAAATTGAATGTGAAAAAAATTTTAATTATAAAATTTAATAACTAAATTGATAAGTATTAGTAAATATATTGAATCAGAAAATAAACTCATTATAATAATTACACGTGCTGTATATAATCTATCTGCTTCTGGGAAGCTAAATGCGTCACTTTACCATGTGTTGCCGAACAAATACCAAAGTTAGTTCGAATAAAATTAATGTTACAAAAAGTCATGTTAAACGTGCGAAGCATGTTCTTACTGTTAAAACTTTGTATTTTTCCAGTTTCAGACCTCTGTTTTGTTTGGGTTCAGGTAAACTGACGAGAAGATTCCTCTTTCAGAGCCACTTCTCAAGATTTTTCACTGCAATTTAACTTGTTAACAAGCTGCCGACCAATTCAGTTTTTTGTGCATTTTTCCCGTTCTGTGTTAGAAGTCTTTTGGTAGGTTTTACAGTTTACATTAGGCTTTGAAAGAGCTGTTTCAAGCAAATAAATACATACATATATATATATATGTATATATAAACACACAACAATAATAATAACAACAACAACAATCCCAGACAGTATTATCAGGGCTCACTTTCAGCAGATTTTCCAGTTTGACATGTTATGCAAGTTTGTCCAAAAATGCAACTTGTTACTTTCAAACTGTGTACTTATATGACCAAAAAACATTAAGAAAAAAAATTAGAAAATTGATTAGTATACCCTTCAATTCAATATATTTATCAATACTTACAGGTTCAATCATTAAATTATATAATTGAAATTTTTTGCATTAAATTTAAAAATAATAATTTCTTAATAAATATATTGTTAAATGTGTTAAACTAAAAAATTTACCTGTTATTGTCCAAAAAACTAATACATCCTAACTTAATTCATACATAATAGTACTTTTTATAATAGAAGAAGAGAGGGCCTAACCAATCAAATTAAGCTTTTTTTTTTTAAAAAAAAAAGAGATATTAAGGTTACTTTTGGTTTTGGAGAAATGGCCGAGGGAGAATTTGTATTAATTATTAAATATTCTAATTTTGAGGCAATAATATGTCTTTAATTTTTGTATGGTATTTACGCGTGAGTATGGAGTATCATATCAAATAAGATTATATATTATGTATGTAAAAACTCATTAAGCTAGTATAATAGTTAGTTTTTTATATTTAAAGTAATGTGTAAAAATTAAAGTGAATTCTCAACTACTTTCAATTATATTAAAATTTTAAAGCAGGTAAAAAAGAATTATTTATTCTCATATCATGATCTTATGTATGTAGAGTAAAAAAGGATGATGTAAGCAAATTTTAAGGGTGTGATTGGAACACAATTAATTGAATTAGATAAAATTATAATGTTGGATTGGATTGGGTTGAATTAGATTGAATTAGATAAGATATATATGATATATTGAGTTCAATCTCATGTTTGTTTGAAAAAATATTTATTTTTTCATCAAATTAAACCACATCTGCCGAATAAGAAAACAACAATAACCCAGAAAAATTAGCATAATTTTCCTTCTATTTCTCATCTACCAGACAACTAGATCACCAATATATAAAATATTTCATTTGTTTCCTTAACAAAACCACCTTTGCCCAATAAGAAAACAACACCAACATCAATTCTATCTCTCTATGTTTTCTAATAAATTAAAAATTTCCAATAAATCACATTTTAATTGTAAATATATCTAAATTAACGCAACCAATTTGTTTTAATCAACAAATTTCAACAATTTTTTTTATGATCTTAAGAATTTCATTACAAAAATTACATCTCAATTAAATCTAGAAAAATCAAATCTCAATTTGCCACAAAGGAACTTAATTTGTTAGCTTCAAATCCACAAAAGAGTCAATAATCAATGAGAGCACAAATCTTAGAAAACCACTTAACACTCGTCAGCAACCATGCCGGCAAAATTGGGCTCGGTTTGTTACTACTGTGGCTTGAATCTTTAGACCAAATAGAAATTGAGGAAGGTGGGGAAAGAAAGAAGAAAAAAACGAGGGAGGAGATGATTCTGATCATTGACAGAGGACATGGATTCAATGAATTCCACATGAAAATCTGAGAAGTGAGAGAGAAAAGGTCGAGTAGTGTGGAGAGGGGTAAAAACTAAAAAAAAATAATAATAATAATCCAACAAATCCCAATGGTAAGGTGGGATAAATTTTCTTTAATAAAGAAAGGATGGGATACAAGTTGTGATGAACAATATCCGATTCAATTAAGCCACCAAACGTGAGACACATAAGAATAGGATACATTTTTTGCCCCATCCAACTCTATTTCCAACGATCCAAATGAGTTCTAAATGTTTTGGTTTTAATCAGGGAGTGAGGAGGGGCAATATTTTAAAATTTCTTAAGAGAGTAGTTTACTAATAGAGTTATGTATACTCTTTCTCCCTCCCTTCTCCTCTCCTCCTTTTTTTTTTTTTTTTTTTT